GGCGGGGCGCGCTCGGCGCCTGCGTACCCATGGCAACGGCGACCGCCCGGACGCCGACCCGCGCGCTGGGCGGGGCTGGAGGGTCTGGCTCCGAGGATGGCGCGTTTCCTTTTTCATGTTTTCCACTTTTTGTCTTTTCTTTTTTTAAACAATAAACACAAAAGAAGCACCAAGTTTAAGGCAATTCTGAAGTGGACTTAAAATGGTACTGTGGGGGCCCGGGAGATAGCTCAGCAGCGTAAGTGCCTGCCAGGCAAGGCCAAAGTCCCTAGTTCCATCTCCGCTACCGCAAAAAATGAATCGATCAATAATGTCGAAATGCAAGAGTCACTTTGGCCTTGTCTTCCCGGGATGCTCAGTCCGGGCTGCATATGCAAATACTCATCAGCATCCCAGTTCATCCCTGTACTACCTATCCATGCTTCGCACCCTCTGTATTTCATCCCAATAAAATTGAAACGTAGGAGGGTGTAATCCACACGTGATCTAAAATTCTAACCACCTAACAGTTTACCCCGAGTGTCACTGGGCAGCGCGTTTATGTGCTATCCCTAGCATCGCTTGGGTACATGTCACTTCCATTAGTCAATTGTGTTAAATTTCATAAAACCGTCATCTTTAGCTCAGCTTGGTGACACACACAGGTAATTCCAGCACTTGGAAAGCAGAGGCAGGAGCACAGCAAGTGACATCAACCCTTGGCTCAAAACAACCCTAAATAAACGTCATTTTAAAATTTCGTTAAGGGGCCAGGGAGATGGCTCAGTAGAATAAGCGCTTGCCTGGCCTGAGTTCAATCCCTGGTCCCGCCAAAAATAAATGACTAAAATAAATAAAATTTCGTTATAAAACATTAAAGGAAAAATGCAACTTTTGGTCATCCAGTATTTAAACAATTAGTCTGGTAAATTACAAGATTTGTGTCTGCTCCGATGTCTTTCTAGCCAGGCAAACATATTTTCCCTGTTCTGGCCTTAATGACAGTTAGTGAAACAAAATAAATATGGCTCAAAAAAGTTACCTACTAACCCTCTGAAACAAGGTCTACTTATGTCACTCCCCAACAGGGAAAATTCCCCTAAAAGAACACTACATTCAACTCTGAGATTTTAAAACCTTATTTAATAAAAGGTTTAAAGATACAGAAGAACATTCAAAAGTAAATAAGTTACGTAGATACGTTACAATCACATCAGCAAGATTCTTTAGTGTATTAATTTTTTATAAAAAGCACACAAAAAATAAAATCTTCCATCTGGTCTATCACAACTGTACAGCAAAAGAGGTAATATTATATATATATTTATATATATTTATATATGTACACTATTTTACTATGTAACAGTCTCTTAAAAAAGGGTGCCACAGGCAGCAAACACACAAAAGGCAGTGTCTGATTTTTTGTTTCAAAATAAAAGGAATATACTTATTTATATGCTATGAAAATATCTGTACAATAATTACAGACTGTCAAGGCTATTCCTGTACTGCCCCCTCCAAGGCCTTCAGTTCTGAGACGAGTAAGGAAAAGGTGAGACAGCTGCAAAGTGTTAATCAGAGGCAAATATGAACACAGCCAAATGTGGTGCAGACACAACTCAATTATAAAAATACGCAAACTTCCTGTAAACCTAAGGAGTTGGGCTTGCCAGTCTGATAATAAATAACAGCCCAAAACAGTGAAGCCCAGTGAAAACGCTTAGCTGAGGCATGAGTCTGTGTGGCGGTCCTCCATCTTAATCTCGGGCACGAGAGGAGAGGTTAGGTCACTGAGGCAGTTACTACAGGGAGTCCCCTTGGACACAAGCAGCACAGGACCTCTGTGCCGGGGGTGTGGGCGTCAAGAGGGGCAGGCAGGCGCGCACCTCAGCCAGGAGGGGGCTGCGAAAGGCATGGAGGACAGTGATGACAACACTGTCTCCTCAGGTGGGTAAGAAACGGTACAGAAACGGTACAGACACCAGGCACTAGGGTCAGTTTCATACCTCTTAACTGAACGCAAAGGAGGCTGGGAGATTGACATGGTAAGACAGTGTGGGGAGGACATGATAAAGCTGGGGCTGTTTGCAGCTTAACTTGTTAATGCAAAGAGCTCTCAATAGGAGGGGAAACAACAGAAGACAAGCCTAATATAGTCATAGGGAGAAAGCACCATTAAGGATATATATACCTATGCCAGCTTCTATGGCTACAAGACTTTGCTGAGCGGTTACTGCCACAACTGTAGCTGTCCTCTACACGTTTCTCACATCACACTCCAGATACAAATGCATTCTGAACACAGGCTCTCCTAAACCATGGCGTCTGGTGCAGTGGGACCAGGAGGTACCAGCTTGCCTTTCCTTGGCTACCTATGCCTAGTCTGGTCTGAGCTTAGAAGTGTCAAATCACTTAAAAAAAAAAAAAAAATCCAAATTCTAGATGCTACCAGTGAACAGAAGGGTCTTGTGGGACTAAAGGAGGTTCTATTATCACACATCCATCAAGGCGCCTGAAACCAAATGCGGACTAGAAAAAACCTTGGGAAGCGTAAGTAGCACTTTGGGGCGAAGCTGCGAAGGCACTCATAGTATACACGTGACTTGGAAGAGAGCCAGCATCTGCTGCCCTCCTTCGGGGTCACCAGATTTCTGCAGTCGTGGGACCTGGAGCTGACAGACACCCGTGGAGGAAACTAATGGGGATGCTGGAGATCTGAGCAGCTGTCTACACATCTTGGGGGAGGGGATTTTGTTCCCTTCATAGCTGGGGTCTTACAGAACCCTTACTAATGCATAAGCTAATGTAAGTATCTCCTAGTGCATAGTTTAAATGCAAAACTGCCTCTCCATTCCCGGTCACCAGCACAATGTTTTTAGGCTATCTCCTAGGCAGCAGCAGGATGAATTCTGGGGGCCCAAGGCTGCCGGCCCCACACACACACACTCACTTTGAATTTCTTTTGCACAACTAACACCGAGTAATGACATCAGAAAAACTAACTCAAGCTTCTCGTGAGACTTCCAAGTGAAGGGGCCTCAGAAGCTTCTGGCCACCTCACTCCCAGGATCCTAGGCCAAATATGGCTTCTGCGTGCTAGTGTGCAGGCCTGGTAAACAAAACTGAAATTCCAGCCTTCTGCCAACTCCCGCAGGCCATTTCAAAGTATCAAAGAGGGGCAACAGAAACTGTCTTTGATCTCCCTCCCCCTGCTAGTCTCTGTGTGGCTTTAGGGACGCCCTCCACCATCCCAGCCTCTCTTCAGTGCTGCTGTCATTCCCATCAGTGGCCAGAAATTCCACAGCAACAGGAAGAGGGACCCTAGGGTCTGGGGAATTGGGGGTGTCAAGAAGGTGCCTGGTTTTGGGATAAATGCACTTGGGCCTCTGAAAATCAGGAGGCCCCTGGTCCCTGAGAGGATGTTAAAAATTAAATATTAAAAATAAATAAATAGCTCCCAAATGACACAAGTCAAAGAATGGAGGCTCCTGTCCCATCTAGTCAGGAAACCTCCTCTCCCAGGAAAGACCCAGAAATCTCCAGCGCAGTAGGGTGTGCTGAGCTTTGGGGATCAAAGAGGGTGGGGGTTGGGGCAGTGAAGTGGCAGCTACTGAGGGCAGGGCAGAGGCAAGCTGGGAGCTGGCACCAGCTGGAGGACCTGCTTGAGGCTAAGCTCCCTCAGCAGCCTCAATGGCCCAAAGGTATTTGGCAAAAAGGAGGGTGGGAAGCAGGAGGGGCTTGTCCAACGCTGCCACAGCCAAGCCCTGTGGCCCCGGCTTCCAGCTTGCAGCCTCCGGATGGTTCCTTCCTGGAGCAGGCTGACAGCGAGGACAGAAGAGCGACCCCTTCCCCAGCACTGCTCAAAGCTTTGCCGACCAGCACCTGTCCTGGCTGGGCTTCACTCCCCGCTAGGTGAGGCCGTGGCCTGAAGAGAGGGTCACCAGAGCAGCGCAGGCCTAGACACCGCCTGCAGGGGTGCCACACGCCCTCCAAGGGAGTCCCTTGCTTGGGGGTGGGGCAAGGCCTACTGCAGCCTACCAAGTCCGCTGGGGCAGGGAAAAAATGCTGCAAAGGATTGAGCTTGTGCTTGGCTAGCCAAGGTGGCTTCCTGGAAGTTGGAGAAGGGGGCCGAGGCCACTCTGCACGGAGGCCACCAGGTCGGGGCCACTCCCGGCAGCCCCCAGGTTGACCAGCACGCTCAGTCAGGAAAGCAGGAGGACGACTTCCCAAAGACCGGAGGCAAAGAGAACTGGATCCTGCAGTCCTTAACACTGCTCCTGGGGCCTTTATAAAGGAAAAAGGTCGTTTATTTCACTGTCTAATTGTTTTGCTGAGAAATGTCCACACGACACTCTGCCCTCGAGGTTGCGGGTGAACTCAGCCCTTGTCGCCCGCACTCTCCTCCTGGGCGTGCAGGGCAGCGGCGGCCTCCTTGGCCTCCCTCTCCTTCTGCCGCAGGGCCGCGGCCTTCTTCTCCTGCTCCGCATGGCTCTTCATGTGGGCACTGCGGCTCTTCACCTTGTAGAACACCCTGCAGTGGCGCAGGAGAGACGCACATAAGGAGCTTGCCGGCCCAGCACCCCTGGACGTGGGTAGGGTGCGCCTGGCCTTCCAGATTTGCAGCTTCCCCACTCCCCCACCCACCCCTCCACCCTCACCCTGGAGCTCGCACCACCCAGTCTAAAGCTGCCCCTGATGATGTCACTGCCCTGGCAACCCACTGAGCCAATCAGAAGACACACTGAGCACTCAGTAGCCCCTCCCACCCCAGTGCAGCGACAGGGCCAGATCTTACCTGCCGCATTTTTTACAAGGAAAAGTGTTCTCCTGGTTCTGGGTCTTACTAAATGCCTCTGCTTTTTTCTTCTTCTCTGAGAAAGGCAGCGCCCTTCGTGACTTCCCTGGCCCCTCCCTTGGTTTCTCTGAGGCCTGGCCACCTGCTGGCTCCGACTCAGAGGCATTGGACTCATGGCTCCGCAGAATAAGGATGTCATTGGCCTGCAGGAAATCAGCAAGGAGGGTTGAGTGCTTCGGGAAGCAGGGATCCGCGATTCTGGAATCTCAGGGAATGCGGGCCCTTGAAGGTCGCGCCCTCCTGCCACATAATCACCTCGCGCCCACTCGAGTCCGTCCAGTAATGGGCCCTTGGTGCCTCCTTGGAGGCCCACTTAATCCTGGATCCAGTCCAGCCCTGCTGTTTACAAAGCTGCTGGGCTTTGAGCCATTAAAAGAAAATCAAGTTTGGGTGATGTGACAGGTGCCAGGGACACAGAAGTTGACATATAAGACCCCTGCCCTCAGAGAACTCTGGGCCTTGGCCACAGACAGGTGTGGCCATGCAGGTCACTTGCTGAGCACACAGAGGATGGCAAACACTGGACAGAGAGAAAAGACAGAGGGAAAGAGCAGGTGTCGGAGCAGAGAGGACAGGTGATGCGGCCCTGGAGCAGGTGCTGCTCTGGGCCTCTGGTGGGGGTCCCAGATGGACCCTCAATGTGCTCTGGGTCGACCCTTAGAAGAAAGTGTTCACACAGTCTGCAGAGCTCAACGGTGTAGACACAGGGCACAGAGCTTCTGGTGCAGACAGCCAAGCTCAGAAGAGAGCAAACAGCTGTGGTCAGCGTGTGTCCAAATCCCCACCCTCCCCCTTCCCGGGAGAGCTGTCCAGGGCAAGGGCATCTCGGACCAGAAGTCTCACTTCCTGGCCTGGCCTGTGCCAGACAGCACTGCACCAGGAGTCCAGGATCTGGGGTGAGACTGCAGTCGAGTCACCTGGCAGCTCTAACCCAAGTGTTCCTCTGCAAAGCTCCGAGAATCTGAGACAACGAAAGTAAAAGCACTCTGCAGAGGATGTGTGTGAGGGGCCAGGTCTCAGCTCCACTTCAGATCCTGTCAGGCAGGAGACAGCCCGCGTGGGGTGGGCCGAGGGCTGAACGATGGCTCCTGTGTGCCTCCTCACTCTCCCACATGCCCCCTGGGATCTCACAAAGCTCTTTCCTCCAAATCTCAGAACCAGAAGCTTTCCAGTGCAAAATAAAAAGCAGCCTGGCCTCAAGCTATTAGCTGTGTTATCTTGGGCCTCAATTTCCTCATCTGTAAAATGTGATTAATAATAATCCCTACCTCCTAGAGTTACAGGGATTAAACAAGCTAACAGCATGAAGCACCTGGTACACTTTCCACTGCTGTGACAATGAGGGCTGCCACCTTGCTCCTGTCTGCCCTCTGTCCCTGGGCTCCGGGAATGGAGGTGGGGGCTCACTTACCGCCTCATTGGCCTGGAGTGTCTGCGTGGCTTTGACAGCAGCTGCCCGCCTGCTGCGCTCTCGCCCCTCTTCCTGCTCCCCCTTCTCCTGGATTTCTGAGACCTCTTCCTCCCCCTCCTTCCTGGGCTCCTTCTCCTCACTCTTGGGCTCCAGCCTCTCTTCACTTGGGGACTCTCTTCTGGGAAGAGACATCCTCGGGAACTTCTGGGAAGTCTATGGGGGATAAGAACACGCTCGGTCACAGTGCGATAGTGCTCTGACTCTGACCCAGACGGGGCTCAGGAGCCCCTACTTGTCCTGCTGGTCTGGTTCAGGTTGCAGCCTTCCCCTGGCTGGTCTCCCTGGAGACAAAAGACTGTCTTGAGACCTGGAGTCCTCAAGATGAGGGCAGTGAGGGAACGCAAGCCACCTGACCTCCTGGACCTGGAGGACATATCCTCAGGCAGAGTGGTCTGGTAAGCCAGACAGGAGCCATGCACTCCAATTCCGAGCCATCTCTGCAATACTTTCTACATCTCCACTCCCTTTCCATCTGCAAAATGGGGAGTAAACCACTCCCTGTCTTAGAGCAGCAGGTGACCGAGTGTGAACCTGTAACTCTGAGATGGTATTTTAGACAGATACAGGGATGTAGAATTAAAGAACAGTCTCCTTTCAGTACTGGTTAGGTCACGTACCACGTCTCAGGGTGTTATTAATATGTCCTTTATGCTTCTGCAGACCTGGTAATTCCTTAACGAAGAGATCAAGCCTCAATCTCAGAACCCTGGCAGGTAACACAACATCTAACTAGAACTTGGCAACAGTGATTGGTTTTCATGTGTATTCATTTTTACCAATTCCTTCCATTTATGAGAAACAATAGTGGCTTTCTAGTCATGGTTGTGATCTAGAGCTTCTCTTTGAGTGCAAATGGGTCAACATAAAGAAAAATATTAAGTAATAGCACAAGTGGTATGTAGACATAACAAAAATAGGAATGGTGACATGTGGTAGGGTGCGGATAGAGCAGAAATCACAGAAGTGTCGCAAGAGTGACTGAAGTTCGGGAAGCAGTGCTAGAAGGCTGCTACGAGGAGACAACAGGAGATGGTGGTACAGACACGGTGGGGAAGTTCTCTAACATCCTGAGCCCGTGTCATGCTTAATTACTGTGACCCCGGCTGGCTACTACAGAGGAGAGCTCAGAGGACTAGGGCTGAGGCTGTCAGCTCTTGCGGGCTCTAGGGACCGCGCTCTCCTCTGCCTGCCTCCGCAGACCCTGCCAGGCTCTAGGCAGTTGGAGCTGGAAAAGGAAATCACCTTAACGTCCACCTCCACCTCTTCTTGGGCTGACTTCTCATCACTTGTGTCCACGTCCCCAAAGGTTAGAGTTCCATTGCGACCGATTTTCACTTGTTTCTTGTAGGTGTAGTAGAATTCCACACACTGGGCCACCGTCTTGGTCTGGATCTGGTTTGAAGCCAAAACTGAGGTTAGAGTCCGCTGGCTTGGCTCGCCTGCCTGGAGAGTCCAGCCTTCCTCCTTCCCGTATGTTCCCCTTCACCGTTGGGCCCCAGCTAATCTAAGTGAATGGTCAAACACATTGTAGTGTTCTTTCCATTTTTCTGTAAGTTTGAAACTTTTCCAGTTAAAAAATTGAGGAAAAGTCTGGGCATCAACCACACTGAAATCAGCCCCAAGCTGGCAACAGACATGTGCAATCCAGGTGCAGGTCTAGACAGGTGAAGGAGGGGCAACGTCACACTGCCCCTTTCAGGCAGGACTCTCGTAGGAAGGCCCTGGGAGGCCTGGAGAGGAGGCAGAAGACCCAAGTCTTGTTCCTAACCCTGCCACAGTGGGCTGTGCGGCCTTAGGCGAGTCCCCCTCCTTTCAGGTTTTAGTTTTGCTTGTACAAATACAACAGGATGAGGCAACTCCGGACTTCTCAGCTTGCCATTTTAAGCTGTCCCATTTCACAGATCTGCTTGGCCACTAGGTTTTTTCTCTGGACGACTTCCCACTCAAGCGTTCTTGTAAACTTCTTGCCCACCCCTGGCTCTGCCCACGTCCAGGAGCCCAGGGCCACTGGGGCCCCTTGTGAGGAACACACAGATGTACCTCATGTCATGGGAACGGCCCAGGCTCACGCTTGCTACTTATACCACTACACTTTCCCCAACTAGTCGCTTGGGTTATTCATTTGACCACTGATCTGCTCCTTTCATTAGGTGTTGGGGCATCTCAGTGAATTACACCGCAAGGACTTCCCAGTGAAAGCAACTAATCTGGGGCGAGTGTCACTAACAGACAACATATGACTGTCCCCTTCACCGAACCCTCAAGGGAGAACTTGGCAGTCTTCCATCCAAGGCCCAAGCCAATCCTGACACAATCTGCCACCCAGCAGCAAACAGCAGTTCTTGGAAGCTCTTTTCCCTTAGTGAGCTCTTCCTATAGCCCAGGCTTTGTGAGATGGAGTTGGAAGAGACACAGAGCCCTGTACTCTTCCAAAAGAGTACGAGAGGTGAACCTGGGCACATCGGCTATGACTAGAAGGAAGCCTTGGCTCCACAGGAAGCAGGCAGAGGTCACCCAGGGCAGCAGCAGGCACCTGCTGCCTGTCGGTCCTCCTCACCCTACAGTGACCTCCTCCGCCATTTCCCTAGGGGAACAGCTCTCGGCCCTTACTCCCATCTTATCTTCCCACCCATGTGACATGTGACACCAGACCCCTGTATGGATTGAGACCTACAGTGTGGTTACACCACCCAAAGATAAAAGGGGACTCAGAACCAACAAAAGGTGGCTAGGCCTTTCCACTTCTTGGAATGTTAAGAAAACTGTGTCAAGGTTACCTGGGGACAGTGACTTGACTACTTAGGAGGGCGTGGTCAGCAACTCAGGGTGCCACAGACAGACAGGGGTCTCAAGTCCTGTGTGCAGGATGTGACAGACCCCAGGGCCCTCACAGCCCAGCAACAGCCGACTTACCAGCTTCTGCACCAGGAAGAAATCTTTCTTGTAGATGGCAATGCCTTTGTTGAACAGCTTCCTTTCAGCCATCTTCCACTGGTCAGAGCCTGCAGGGCCAAGGAGGAGCCAGGGCGTGAGGCGGGGAGGCCTGGGAGTGCCGGGGAGATTCTGAGCAGCTGCAAGTGCGAGGCATCCCCACAGGTCTCCGCAGCATTCAGCACTGACTCCTCCCTCTCCTTGCTTGTGAAATGGGAACAAGGATCTAGACCCTGCCCACCCCCACCACCACCCCCCAAGTGTGGCAAGGACAGAATAGCAGTGGAGATGAAGCCCTTGGTCCTCTCTGGTACAGACAAAATGTGGCAATAGCAGGGATCAGGGACAGTGGCTTTGAGAATGACGTGATCTGGCCAAAGTCCCTTATTAAGGTCCAGAATGAGCCATGTGCTCCGAGGGCCAGCTAGGCTCTGGGTACCTGAGGCCACTGTGGGCTCCTGGTCTCACACCTGTGACCCAGGCTTCTTGCCCAGCTAGGTTCCCACCTGCTCACTTCTTTCACTCCCTGCCCTTTAGGGAATGGGAGTCCCCTTGAAAGCCACCCAGCTCTGGTACCAGTTCCTGCATCTGGTTCTTGGCGGATCCCCCATTCCCTGCCCTCACCCAGGGCTGAGGCTCAGCACCAGGGCTCCTGATGCTAGAGACCCCAGGAAACTCGGGCCACAGGCCCACCCCAACCAGGCCCACCTGTGTAGTGATAAGTGGCCAGCGGGTGGCTGAGGGGCCGCAGGGGCTTCTTCAGTAGCAGCTTATTCAGAGTTTCCTGGAAGAAAATGGGAGAAGACAGGGGTATGGCTGAGGTCTGAGTGTGGGCTGAGGCCCAGGCCCAGGCCCAATGCAGAGGCCTCAAGTCCTAGGGCAGGGCAAGTACTTCCTCTTGCCGCCTGCACTGCTGAGGGACCAGGAGTCAGGGAGGATGGGAGAGGCGTGGTAGGTGGGCAGCTTAGCAACCGGGGCCTCCTAAGGGAAAGGCAGCCCCCAAGGCAGGCTGCATAACAGAAGATCCTCAGTAACAGGCCTGTCTCACGGGGACCCCGCTGACAGAGAATCAGGGATTGGGATGGACAGGAGGATCCTGTATACCAAAATGTAGACGCTAGAACCGGGGTTCCATCGGGCCGAGCAGCTCCCATCCCCACCTGGGTCAGGCCCTTCTGCACACTCAGCTATGCCAGCTTCCAATGGGACCCTGGCTGCACCCGCAAGGCTCTTACCAGAATGTCTCCCCGGGACTCGTGTAGGCAGTGTAGGGCCAGCTCCTGGTTAGTGCCGGCACCAGGGAAGATGCTGGAGCAGGCAGCTGTCAGCAGGTCCTCCACTGAACTCGCAGGAGCATGGGTGGCAGGAGGGGAATCACATTCAGGGCCAGTGCTGCATGCACCCACCTGCCCACCCAGCCTGCCCACCTCAGGCCACCGCTCACCTTGCCGCTGCTTCTCCCGGCTGCCCTCTAGGCTCTCCCAGGGCTGCCACACCAGGTCAGCCTTGTGGGGGTCTGCAGCTGCCAGGGCACGGTCCTTCATCAAGGGGATTTCCGCTTGGAAGCGGGTGCCCACGTTGATGCGTCTGCAGCAGGGACAGGAAGGGAGTGAGGCCTCACTTCACAGGGATGGTGACCCCGACTTTCATGGGGGGGTGGATTAAGGGGCAAGTGGCAGAAACTGAGTTCAGGGAATGGCTTCTGGGAGACTGAGAACAGCCTGGCACCTGGCGCCCCCACAGGCTGGCCAAAGGAGAAGGTGCTTTGCATAGGAAGATGGACAGAGTCTCTCAGACCCCATCCAGCACCCCTTGAAGACAAATTGAAGCAGAGCTGCTCCTTTTCTTTCTCTACAATGTCCAGGTAGACCAGGAAGGACAGTGGAGTCTGGGCTGACTCCAGAGGGCCCCTGAGACCTCCTCTCCTTCCCAAGCCCAGCTCCATGCAGGGGGCCCACCTGGCTACCCTCCCGCTGCAGCCCTAGTCAGACAGCACTTACGGCTCGATGCTCACAGGGGTGGCGTCTCCCATTACCGAGAGGACAGGCGGGGTGACTTCGGCGCTGTCTATGGGACAGAGTGGGCTGTAAGCGGCACATTCCTCCTCTCAACAAAGCACCCCTTCCCTGGGTAGCTGCAACCCATGCACGAGTCACAGCTGTGACTCAGGGAGCACTTAGAACTCAGGCTCTTGAGTACTGGCTCTGCAGCCTGCTGCAAAGACTCAGGCCTTAGACTAAAAATCTGGGCGCCTCAGTTTTCACACCTGCAAAAGGGACTATTTCTGTCTCCTTAATATGGAGGGAATGAAATAAAGCACAGAGCTGGGCGCCCAGCCAATATCAGGCAGGCCGAGGTGGTGGTGCACACCGATAATCCCAGCACTGGGGAGGCTGAGGCAGGAGGATTCCAGAGTTCAAGGCCATCCTTAACTCCATAGTGAATTCGAGGCAGCCTGAACTACACAGCGAGACCCTGTCTCAAAAACAAACCAACCAAAATCCCCACCAGCCGGCAATCTGCAGTGCCCACTCCCTGCTCCCAGGAGCTCCCTGGCTACAAGAAGTCAGTATAAAACTGCGGTTTTCTAGTAAAGAGGCTGAAACTTTGGACACACAAAGGAAGTGTCTGATAACTATCATCTCACTTCCTCTCTGGATTTTCTACCTCAGTTTCTTCCAAGCTAATCTTCTGATATGCCCCACAAAATTAAGCCACTTCCTCACTTTAAAAAAAAAAAAAAAATCACCTTTGCCAACACCTTTGCAACGTGGGATGAGCACCCGCACCGCCCGCCTGCTCATGGGCACTCCTCCATCGCCTCCTCCCCAGCCGCGCAAGGAGGCTCCTCTCCCCGCGCGCTCCTGCGCAGTCCCACCTTGCTTTGCCCCAGGGCCCTGCCGCCCCTCCCTCCCCAGTCCCACTCGGCTCAGGCCCCACCCCTCCCTCGTGCTGTCCTTACCCCGCCCGCCCTCTGCAGGCCTGCAGCTCAGTGTCACCTCCACTCTAGGGCTGCTGGTCCCACCTCGCTGGCTTCTGCACCAACTACCTACTGACCCTGCACTGCGCTCTTTCTGGAACAGAGCATGGGGTCCCACCCATTACTGGGGTCCCAGGTCAAGGCTTTGCTCCCGAGCGCTCCTCAGGGAGTGGTGGTTAGCCAGACCGATCTCTTCCCCTCCGCAAGGACGACCTGCGGAGAGGGTGAGCCACAGCAGTCAGGGTAGGGCAAGCCTCTTCCCACCTTCAGGCAGCAGGGGGCACCCGAGGGCTGTACGAGGGTGAGCCCATTAAGGGCTGAGTGGGTAAAAGGCAGCCCCGCAGCTGCTACCACTCGACCCTTTCCACCACCCTAAGAGCTAGGACTTCCCCATCCCGATGACCCCTTTGTGAAATGGGCAGCATTCTTCATTCAGCAATACACCCATCAGGCCAGCCAAACGGTTCCAAAACTGCTCTTGTCCAAAAGGACCGACCATGCAAGAGGCCCGGGAGACCAACCTGCTCTGGCCTCACCACACCCCTATGAGGTCAAACCACAGGAAGCTGCCCTGGTGCCTCCCCCAGTGGCAGAACATTGGCCGTTTCACCATCAACCAGGACTACTAATCCCTTTTCAATCCTGAAGACACCAAGGCGCAGGGAATTCAATGACCTGTGCAAGAGGATGTGACGGCAAATGGTAGGACAGGGACCTGAGCCCAGCTGTAAGGCCACCTCCTCACCCGCGCCCCACCCCTGCTCGTTCTCGTGACAGGACAGCCTTCTCTTCTCAGAGGAGACAGCAGGGTCCCTGCTCCCACTGCCAGCAACCCCCAGGTTAAGCCGCCGCCCTGCCCCGTGCCCCAATCCCAAGGCCACCAAAGGAGACAGGCGTCACTCACTGGAACGGAGCAGGGTGCGGTGCGCGCTCTTTGGCGTGATGGGCGGAGGCGCCGGGACGCTGCTGGTGGAGATGATGGCATTGAAGTAGAGACCCGAGCCTTCCCGCACGGGGCTAAGGATGGGGGGCGGCGTGTAGGGCGGCAGCTCGAAGCTGCGCTCGGAGGGGTGTTCGGCCAGGCGCACGGGAGAGCGCAGGTGGCTCTGGTACGGGGTGATGTTGGAGTACACGGCGGGGGCAATGAACGTGCCCGCCTTGGTGGGGATGATCAGGGGCTCGGGCCGCGGCCGCTGCTTCGGCTTTCGCACAGAAGGCTCCCCCTCCAACCTGCCGTGCAGGTCCTCAGCCTGGAGGAGGGGACAGATCAAGGCTGGCTCAGCCCCGGGCGGAAAACTGGCCCACAGCACCCTCGCACCAGGCAGGAGAGGAGGGCAGATGTGAAGCCCTTCGCACTCCTAGCAGGCAGAGCTCAACAAACTCTTTCTAGAAATCCCCGATAGTAAATATTCTAGGCCTTGTGGCTTACAGGAGGTCTCTGCTATCTCTTCTTTCCCTTTTACCTTAAAGAAAAAAAAAAAAAAAAACCCTCCATAAAAATGCAGAAAGCATGCACAGCTCGTGGCTTGGGGCCCAGGACACTCCCTCACCCCTGCACAGCAGCAGAGCAGGAGCGCCAGGAAGGGCCCTGGCAGCTTGGATTAGAATCTATCACTTTCATTTGCCACTTAAAATTATACAATGTGTGTGCATCTTTAAAACAACAAACAAACCCTAGGGCTTGAACCTAGGGCCTTCCTGCTGAGCTAAATTCCTAGCCATCTCTTTTGTATTTTGAGATAGGACTCACTAAATTGCTTAAATTGCCTAGTTTGGGTTCAAACTTGTGATCCTCCTGCCTCAGCCCGCTGAGGACTGGCGTCATAGGCATGTGCGACCTCGCCCAGATCCACACATCTTCACTTCTGTCACAGAAATAGTGTGCACCTGGGAAACGCAGGGGCTATAAGGCCCAAGTGAAATAATACGCGGAAATCAGTGAGAAAGCTACCTGGCACACAGTGGTTCATAAACACTGCTCTTCTCACTGCTTAGGCTCCAGGCTCTGCATTAGGTGAAAGCTGCTAAGTGTGCCAAGACCCGCACTGGGGGAGGGAGCCCAAAATGGGGCAGGAGAAACGCTAGCGTGCAGAACTTCTGCTCTCAGAACCTTAGATCTGCCGCCCCGGACTTCTCCCTAGCCCCCATCCCTGGTATATGCTGCACAGAATAGAGAGCAAGGCCATGAGGCAGCAGAGGCCTCCAGCCTCGGCCCTTACAGCCCTCCCTCCAGGTGAGCAACCACAGGCTCTCCTAGCTGCGGAGTACCATAGGCAGGGCTGGCTACAGCGCGTGGGGGCAACAACCAGCCCCTGCCGGCAGAGGCTCCAGCCCCCTCCTAGGGAAGGCCCAGGCAGGTCCTTGGCTCCTGTGCACCCTCTTATAGATTAAATGAAAGAGACTATTCCTTCTTTTGCCTGTAGAAGAGCAATAATGATTACATAAAAAAGAAAAGGGAGCCAGGAAGATAGCTGGGTAGAATAAGTGCTTGCCTGGCAAGCGCAGCGTCCTGAGTTCAATCCCCAGTACCACCAAAAAAAAAGAGAGAGAGAGAGAGAGAGAGACAGACAGACAGACAGACACACACTCACACACACAGACACACAGACAGAGACAGAGACAGACAGTTGGGCTAAGGCAGCTACCCCCTTGCTAGACAAGAAACTTTAAAAAAATAAAACCTAAGTCAGCTATAACTGATTGTAGTTTATGATAAGGCATTTAAATTATTCTGGATATCTGACTTTTTTTTTTTTTTTTTTTTGGTGGTACCTGGGATTGAACTCAGGATCTTGTACTTGCCAGGCAGGCACTTATGCTGTTGAGCTATTTCTCTAGCTCACTGACAATTCTTTGAGTATGATAATGGTAATGAGATTATGTTAAAAAGAAAAAGAAACTAAGAGACCATATGTATGTATTTTATCTTATTCAGATAAAAACTAAAGTGTTTATGAATGGAATGACAGTGTTTGAGTTGTGCCTCAGAATAATCCAGGAGTGGGGAAAGAACAGGCCCAGATGAAACAAGACTGGCTCTATTTTGATGACAGTTGGGTGACAATGAACCATACACTCACTGTGCCATTCTGCTTTTATAAATGATTGAAGATGGCTATGATACAAAGAAAAATAACTGAAGGCATAGCAACCATGTCCCCCAAAAGCCTAGTAAAACCCCACAGACAGGAACACAGGAGCTGCAAATCCAGAGCTAACCGGTCCATGACCTATTATAGGGCTTCAGGTCAGGGCTCAGGCCTGCCAAGGCTGGTGGGGCACGAAATAAAGGCCTAACAGACGCAATGCTGGAGTTGCGCAGGGAAGAAAAAATGGAAAAGAAATTTTCAAGAAGCACTATAAACTCTAAACAGGATAAAAATACATAGGGACAACAGCAAAATTGCTGAAAATCAAAAATGGTTTTTACCAAACAAGCAAAACACACCCAAATCTTGAAAGCAGCAACAAAGATGCCTTATAATTAAACAACAACATAGCTTTTAGTAATTTTTAACACTGTAAGAAGACAACAGAGTGACACCTTTCAAGTGACAAAAAGAAGGTAACTACAAATCTAGGATTCACCACTTAGCAGTTACCCCTCAAAAATGATCAAAAGAAAACACTTTCAGTCTTTTTTTATTTTTTTGCGGAACCGGGGATTGAACTCAGGCCCTTGCGCTTGCCAGGGAAGCGCTTATTCCACTGAGCCATCTCCCTGCCCTCAAGAAAACACTTTTAGGGGGCTGGTGAGATGGTTCAGTGGTCTAAAGCACCTATTTAGAACAAGCTTAGTAAAGCACAGGGATCGCAGTTCAATCCCCCAGCACCACATGCCAGCCCGCCCCGCCCCCTGGTGGGCTGAGCTGGCCACACACACACACATAAAATAAAATTTAAAAAAAAAAAACACTTTTAAATAACCAAAGACGCATAAGGTCCGCCCTTAGCAGAGTCCAGCTAGACACACTAAGGGATGCTTGAGCAGTTCAAAAGTGAGCCAAGCACAAGAAGAAACGAACAGCAAACAACAAAAGCAAAGGTTGGGGGGTAAACCAAAATTAAACAGCAACCAAATAAAAATGTCATAATGTCCTACTGATGTTAAATGAAAATGCTTTTCAATAATCCTACAAGTCAAAGATCAGTAGAAAACAGAATGGAGACCTCGTAAGAACTCTGCGTTATCTAGGAAGAGGTAGAGATACTGGCTCATCTGAGAGCCATGTACCCTCGACTCGCTGTACATGTTTGCAATCTCTAGCAGCCTTCTCGACCAGGCAATTAAGCCCCAAGGCCTAAGGCCTTCACTGTGTAGAAGTTCATTCTTTTCTTATGCATCCGAACAGTACCTAGCACAGTAAAGAACTGAGAAAATAGTCCCTCGGATCCCTTTCTGAGGATTGGGTTCTTTCTGTAGGTTAGAGACTGCCTCAGCGATCACTAAAGAGAAATACTGAGATATATCTAATAATCAGCAAGTGGAGAAATGGAAACTAGCGGGAGGGAAGGGGAAGAGACATAGCGTAGGAAAGCAAGTTGGATGAACAGAAAGCTAACAGCAGATTTCAGTCCAGGCGTAGCAGTAACACAGCAGTGGGATCTTTAAAAGTAGAGCTCATGGAAGCAGAAAGTAGAATGGTAGTTACCAAGGCCTGGGGCTTGGAGTATGGGCTGGGAAGCTGTTAGCCAAGGAAATATAATTTTATTTTTTAAAATATTTTTAAAAATCTATCAATTGGGGCTGGTGAGACGGCTCAGTGGTCTAAAGCACCTACTTAGAACAAGCTAAGCTAAACAAAGCACAGGGACCGCAGTTCAATCCCCCAGCACCACATGCCAGCCAGCCCCGCCCCCAGGTGGGCTGAGCTGGCCGCGCGCGCGCACACACACACACACACACACACACACAATAAATAAATAAATGTTTAAAAAAAACTCGATCTATCTATCTATCTATCTATCTATCTATCTATCTATATTTAGTACAGGCTCTCACTATGTCACTCAGACTCAGTGATCCTCCTGTTTTAGCCTTCCCAGCCCTGGGATTACAGATGTGTGCTACCAAGCCAAGGTTTGGTGGCCAGCTTAGCACAGGGCCACTGTAGCATATGCCAGGGATCCAACCCTGGGCCTTGTGCTTCCCAGGCAGGCACTTAGAACGCTGAGCTATCTCCCCAGTCCAAAACATAATTTTAGTTAGGAGGAATAAGTTCAATAGGCCTAGTGAGCAACATGGTAATTTTCATTAGTAGCAGTGTATATATGCTTAGAAATGGGTAAGTGCAAACTTAAAATGTTCTCACCACACAAAAATCATATGCACACCACATGCCTGTCATCTCAACACCCTGGGAAGTTCAGGCAGGAGAACCAAAAGTTTAAACCCAACCTGGACAGCTTAGTGACTTACCAAAACCCTGTCTCAAACTTTTAAAACAAAAAAAAAGTTTTAAGGGCTATAGCTCAAAGGCCCTAAAATCCTAGTATTAGGTGGAAAATGTCTGAGCTAATGCATGTGTTAATTAGCTTGACAGCCATTCATAGTACATACCCTATATCAAAACATCACTTTGTATGTCATATCTAATTTCTTCAGTAAACAAATAGAAAAGTATAAATTGTATTGGCATTCTAACTAGAAGACAAAAGTTGCTACACTTTCACAATGGGGTTGAAAAATATTCCTTAAGTGAAGAATACAGAAAAAAAAAAAGAAAGTAAAAGGATTAAAAAGAGGCACCATGGGGCTGGGGAGATGGCTCAGTAGAATAAGCGCTTCCCTGGCAAGTGCAAGGGCCTGAGTTCAATTCCCGGTTCAAAAAAAAAAAGAGCCACCACGCAGACACTAAGCAAAAGAAAGTTTAGACAGAGGACTTTGAAGGTAACAGAACTAGAGCTAAAGAAGAAATCTATTATCTATTCCAAATGAACACCTATCGAATATCATTGCCACAAAACAATAGTATGAGTAAAAGAAGAAAAGAAGCAAACGTCTGACAGAACAAAACGTCTCTGCATCCCAGAAACATGGGGCCTTGGACCACCTACAAACCAGTCAAAATTGCATTTTCGCAGATGGTCTCAATTCTGAGTATAAACCTGATTCATCCTTCATCCAGAAATTTGGTTTAGAAAATAAAAATATTATCACCACAGGTTCTGGGAAACCCTTTTGACACTGTCCTTTTTCCTGCTTCCCTGGGGTGCTAGGCCCGCAGAGTACACACGCCCTGGAGGGGTTGGGAAAGGAGCCTCTCACCTGAGCAGGGGCATCTGCCCCTGGGATCCGGGTGGACCGCCTGCGGGTGACAATAACTGATGGCTTGTGCTCAGTGGAGTGCTGCTCCAGGTCCTTCCCATCTTCATCCACACCTCCAACTTGGGCCACCTCAGCCGGGTCCACAGCCCGAACAGGCACAGACACGGGGATGATGAGGGGCACCAGCCCCGGGTCTTCTCGCACCCGCTTGGCGGCCAAGGATGGCTCGGAAAACTCCACCCCACACTTGGTGGCTGAGGTCAACACACTCTTCCGCTTCTCCTCAGAACAGCTGGCATCCTAGGGAGAAGGGGTTTGAGGGGAGGACAGATTTAGAAGCTGAGTGCTGATTTGCTATACTATTTAATCCAGGGACTCAGTATCCAGAGCAGACCCCCACTTCCGTAGACCTGGCTCCTCTCTGACCACCTCTCCTACCATAGCCCGAATACTCCCTTCTGCCAACTCCTCCACCCTGGAGCAGCAGGGCCTCCAGAAATCCACCTCAGGCCACAAGAGGCTCTCAGATGTTTCACTTGGTCTGTAGAATTGGGGACATGACGTAGCACCTAATTTTTTTTTTTTTTTTTTAAATCTCTGCAAAACAAAGTTAGCAAGGAAGCTGTAGCCAGGTAGATAAAGAGTAAGGGAGGGATACATCCAGCTCTCCATGGGTACCTAGCAAGAGTGGAGCCTGGTGTCCTAAGGACACACTCTGATCCTCCCACACAGCAGCCTGACCCTAAAGGCACTGGCCGTGGACTTTTGATGGCAGCTCTGGGATCAGGCTTCTGCTCCAGCACTCAGGGCTCACCTCCGCTCATTGGAAGACAGGAACATGCCAGAACATCTTCAGTGAGTTTGAGGATAAATTATTTGCAAAAAAACTCTAGACACAACACAGCACACCTGTCTGTTCTCCCTATCACTACTAAATTTCTTAAACACACACTTCATTGCAGTATAATTTATATACAATAAACAGACCTATTTTAAGTCACATCCCAAGTATTTTGACAAACAGAACCCCATGGAACCCCGTTCCCACCCTATTCCTGTCTTTCAGCATCCTGCATCCGGCCTTTTGCTCCTGCTCCATACTCGGTCCTCGTGTCAGCACACTGTTCTACCTGCCAGTCCTGTGTGCATTTATAAACCTTGGCTTTCCCTCAGTACAGATGTCTCACAGCGCAGGGGTTCCCTGCAGTAGGGGTCTCCCTGTGCCCCAACCCAGCCAGGTCTGGCACAATGGTCCTCTCACCTTGGTGCTCTGCAGTGAGGCCAGCTCCGCCGCCTTCTGAGCCAGGGTCAGCAAATTAGCCTCCTGGGATGCCCGGCGCCTCCGTCTTGTGCTCTGGATCACCCCCCCTCGTAGCACCTGCCCACATTCACCCGTGGCCCCTGCCCTCAGGCCCTCCTCACTGCCCATGGCCGGAGCCTCCCGTTCCCGACCGTTGGGTGCCAGTCTCTCCCCGTCAGACAGCAGCTGCGACTCTCGCAGTTCCATAGGGAATCCCAGAGCTTCGGGATGGGGTTGCCCTAGGGAGCCGGGAGGCGGTGGCTGCAGAGGCCAATGGTGAAGAAACAAATTGCCTGTGGGCTCCTGCCCAGGCTGGGCGCCCACCCCATCCAGGGCGGTGGGAGGCAGAATCCCCTCCTTAGAAAGGCGGCGCGAGCGGCGGGGAAAGGCCATCTGGGGCTGAGGTAGCACAGGCTGAGGGGCCGCCTCCTGCAGGAGGGCCTTGCGCAGTTCTGGGTTCATGTCTGGATTGTGGGAGAAAGGGTAGGGGGCCATGCTGTGGTGGGTCAGGTGCGGCTGCCCCAGGGGCCCTGTGGATGGCAGCCCGAAGTCTTGGGGCTGCTGCGAGGGTGGCTGCTGCATGGGGTAGAAGTTGTCAAAGAGCTGCATCTGGGGCAGGGAGGCCTGCTGCTGCTGCGGCTGCGGCTGCGGCTTCTGCGCAGGAAAGGCGGCGGCAGCAGGGTTGGGGGGTGGCGGGCCCTGCCGGAAGACCTGCCTATTCACCTGGTGGCCAAAGGCCAGCTGGAAAGGCTGCAGGGGCAGTGTCTGGTTGGGGGGTTTCTTGGCTGCATGGAAAGAGTTCAGGGGCACCTGAGGCTGCCCTCCCTCCAGCTGCACCTTCTGCGGCATCATGGGCCGCGCTGCATTTCCATAGCGGTCCAGCTGTGGGGCGCCAGCTTTGTCCCGCTTCAGCGCTTCAGGGTGGTTATAGTAGGCAGAGGCCCCCACGCTGGGATGAGGGCTCCCCTTGGGTCCGCCATAGAGGGACAGACGATTCCATGCAGCAGGAGGTGGCGGCTGGCCAGGCTGCTGCTGCCAGCTGCTGTCACCGACACCGCCACCTGCTCCCCGGTCTGGGCCCCGCCCTGGAGTCATCACCGAGTTGGGCCACTTTACGGAGCCCACTTGCTGTGACAACATAGCCGCTGGGGCCCGCTCAGATCCATACACAACAGAGTTGAGCAGAGCCAGGCTGCTGGGAGGCGGTAGCTCGGCAGGCTGAGAGGTGGAGGAGGCGCCCGGACCCTCAAGCCCACCGCCGTACTGCTCGTCCTTTACACGGACTGGCTGGGGCAGCTCTTTGGGAGCTGGCTCCTGCTCGACGAAGAGGCAGCGCTTGCGCTTGTTCTGGGTCTTGGGCTGGGCCTGCAGGTTCATGGTGTGGCCAACCGAGCCCCAGCAGGGACAGCCGCCTCAGCACTGGCCCATTCCCTGGGCAGAGGGCCTGGCAAAAGCTGGTCCTGACACAGCAGTGAAGGGAGTCAGCCTCAGGCAGAGACCTGCTCTTCCTTCCTCTTCCACAAGAGCTCTGGCGCAGCTACTCTTCCCAGCTCATGGTGCTTCACCAGGTACTGGAGGCTGCAGAGGGGAGAGAGGGACAGCATCAGCTACAGAGCCCAGGGCCTCCTGGTTCCGCAGGGGCACTGGTGACAGAAGAGCCAGGATCCACAAGGGAGCTGCTAGGAAGGCAGCAGACTCAGCAGCGTCTCTGAGGTCCTCCTCACTCGTCCCACCACTTCCTAGTCAGGCTCCAGAGTGGCTGCACTCGGTTGTGTAATCTGTACACTGCACAAAGGCATGGGGGAGGGGACGAGTGGGGCTGCGGTCCAGCTCAAGCCCCTGAGGGCAAAGGCTGCCTCGGGCTCTGTGGTCCCCCTGTGCTGGGCCTGCTGGGTGGTCAGGCTGGGTACTCCTTGCACATCTGACTGTGTAACAGCTTCCCACCCGGACCCAGACAGTGCCTCCTCCCGATGTTCCCAGTCTATCCCAGACACAGGAAGTGGGACGGACAGAGTTCATTCCCAGCACCACCGCCCTCTACACAGCCAGGCCAAGCCTTCTAAGAGCACAAGGCCCTGGGCCAGGCCCACAGAGGCCAGTAGGTGAGGCCCCACCCCTGGGAAGAGCGAGTGAGTGGGGCTCAGGCTACCCCAGTCTTTCTCAACCAGCACAGAACCTGTTTTGCAGCCCAGGCTGGCTAGAGGCCCAGTAGCAGGCCAGCAGCTGCAGATGCCCCCACCCCAAATGCTAGAAACACTGGCACTGTGAACAAATGGTCTAACGTGGGCATGAAGGGTGCAGAGTGCTAGAATTTAGGTCCAGAAGGTTCCTCCACAGTACTCACAGTTCTTATTGGATAACTGGACGGGGGTGGAAGATGTGCTATGGAACCCAAGGCCTCAGAAGGGCCTAGCAAGGCTCTGGGACCAAGCTACTCCCCAGCTCCCTCTAACTTCATTTTTTAAAAAGGGTTGCTCTACTGATTCAGCTTTAGAACAGAACCCGGGCCTCTACTGTATAACTGACATAGCTGCTTGCGTGAACTTTTTAAAGACTTTTTCTTTTGTCAGAAGGATTTCCGTTTGTTTCAGTTTGGTGTTTTTGTTCATTTTGTACTGAGAGTTGAACTCAGGACCTCAGACTTGCCAGGCAGGTCCTGCACCACTGAGTAAATCACCAGCCTCAGTTTTCGAGTTTGTGTTTTTTCCTCCCTGTGAAGGTAGTAAGAGTGGGAGAGTGGGTTACCTGGGAAAGTGACCCAAAGTAACACTCTGGTCCTGGGTCATCAGGCCTGGGCGCAGACGGCCGGATGGCAGCTCAAGTTGCTGTGGAGAACTAATCTGCAGGTCCAGGTGACCTTAGGCCCTGGGTGCTCCGGGTCACTGTGTGCAGGAAACCAGCAGAGGGCAGGAGCTGGGTGGTGCAAAGCCTGGCTACACCAGCGCTGCCCGCCCCTTGGCCCGTCCTATCGGCCCTATCACTGCTCTGCACGTTTCCGTCGTCGCTCAGCCCCGTTCCCAGGCCTGCCAGCCTCCCCAGTATGACTCACGGGAGGCCCCTTCCTGGTCTTTCACTTTCACCCAGCACCCAGGAGGGTAAGTTCCTCCTTCATTTCCTTCCTCCGTTCCTGGTGTGCAATCCCTTTGTCTTTATGGAAGTTTCCAAGAGAGAGCCAGACAGAGTCCAGCAGAACATTCAGCAGGAGGAAAGCGATTTGGGGAAGAAGGAGGAGCTGGGGACCAGAGAAACACCAGTCCAGCAAACCCCTTTGTAAATTCTCTTTCCCTGAGAGCCAGCCCAACTCTTAAGCCACCAGGTGGGAGTACCACCCGGGCTCAAGCCCAGCGAACCCGAAGTACAGGGAGTGTTTGCAGAAGGGAGGCGCGGATGGCCAGAGCTCAGGGGCCCACATCCTCCAGGGTCCCCTTGAGAGTGCTCACTCACATGCACCAGGACTGCCCGGTCCCAGCCTTGTCGCCAAGGGTGCCACAGCATGGGACTGGGCACTGAAGCAAGGGGGCACCCTCATGCACATCCATGAATGCTAGACTAAGGGGCCCTGGCAGGGGAGTGGATGCCTGATGCAGGGTTTGGGGGAGACAAAAGTTGTGTTTGTGGATGGGGCTTGGGGACTTGGCTGCTCCTGCTCAGGAAAGGGGCTTGGAGGCTGGGTGCGGGCCCAGAGGGGCTGGTTCACACCTCGGCACGTCACGGGGCGGGGCCACCATTCAGGACACCACAGTAGGTTTCTGCAACTCAGAGCAAATCAGAGGGCCCGGCTTAGGGGAGGCTGAGTCAACCCAAAAGCTGCCCACTGCAGAGGCCTCACTGTCACCGCCACCAACAAGCTGAGAGTACCAGGATGCACACATAGGGCCTGGGTCCCCCAGAGAAGCAAGGTCACCATCTGAGGAACAAGAAGAGCAGAAGGGGCCAGGGAGGTGGCTCAGTAGAATAAGCACTTGCCTGGCAAGCGCAAGGGCCTGAGTTCAATCTCCAGTTAAAGAGTGGAAGACGTGGGAACCTGGCAGACAGGGGAGGGGACCACCCAGGCTGAGGGCCCAAGCAGCAGCAGCAAAAGCAGTAGTGTGCCTGTGCCGGGAGGGTCCTCAGCACTCCACTCCTTTTCATTCCCAGGACCACCACAAGGCCAGCACTGCTTTTAACCTCCATTTGGTAGAGGGGCCAGGTAACAGCCATGGCCACACCCAATGAGGTCTCAGAGCAAGGATTCCAGCCCTTATTCCCCGCCCCCACACACACCCTAGGCCCCCAGGTCCTGCTGCACACACCTTTCACAGCTCACTGCCCAAACACAGCGAGACCCAGCTGCCAGGAAGCAGGGAAGCCGGCCCCACCCCCGAGAGCCCAGCAGGCCTGTGAAGTCCAGCTGCAGCACGCCAGATACGCCACCTCCTCCACCCCCTGGGCCTGGGCTCTGCCACCCTGCAGCCCCACCCCGGCCCAGTTCTGGCTGCTACTGCTGGGGCCTTTCCAGCTGTCAGAGCCCACTGGTGCCTCCTGGCCTGCAACCTGGGGCAAGGACTGGGCCACTTCCTCATGTCTTCCTCCCCTCCCCCACCGCACCCCTGGGGGGAAGGAAGTCAGGGCAGTCTTCCTCACAGGGAGGAAGCAAAAGGAAGCCACCTTCTCCAAAGGCCACTGACCTGCAAACCGGGCCAAGTTCCATAGGTGCGGGGAAGAGGAAGCTCCTAGCAGGCCCAGCAGGAGGCTCGCCCAGGACCATCAGCAGGGCCTCTGACAACGGATGCAAGCACGCAGTAAAAGGAAACCCACAGCATGGTGGGCCCCACTCCTGCAACCCATCTTGTTCCTCTGACCGACTGTCATGCTCTCTTCCTTTTTCCTTCCTCCTGGCTCCTCTCGGCTCCAACCAGTCCCTGCCCAGTGCCACTGTTTGGGCTGAAGACAAGGTGAGAGTCCTTAGGACCGTTGAGGCTTCCCAGAAAACTGCAGTGAGAAGCACTTTCTCTACAGAAGAAAGTAGTACGAGCCAAGGAGAGGAAGCTGCCCTGACCCCAAAAATGGCCTCTCCAGACTCAGGAGGGGAAGAGCTGGAAGGGCCGTCAATTCTCTGTGCTCTGCTCATCTTGCTCTGCAAGGACAGCGGCTCCAGCTCGTACCCGGCTGCATACCCAACACTGGGCCACCAGGAGAGTTCAGTGAGCCCCACCACAGAGAAAAGGCAAGACTGTGGCCGTGAGGGCCTGGCCACACCCCAGCCATGTGGGACCTTTACTGTGTTCATCTGAGAACAAGACTGTGGGCGCCAAGGTCGCACAGCCCCAGGAGAAGGCGCCCGGCTGGATCCCAGTGCACACAGAGGCTCAGCCTGACCTGAGGGTGAGGGCAGACACAGAACCCCTGGCTCCTGGAGACTCGTGCCCCTCGCTTAAACCTGGGCCACCCAAGGGCCAGAAACGTAGCAGTAGGAAGCACGAGAGTCCAAGCTTATGCATGTCCCCTGAAGGGCAAGACAGACCCCAACAAGGCCTGAGCTCCAGGTAAACAACAAAAGTGCTGTCTTGGGACCAAGTCTAAGTACCTCACCTCACTTGTGAGTCCCTGCAGACTTGGGCTCCTGCCCCTCCCCTAGCATGCCACGTGTGGGCCGCACAGTTGGGGCCTACAACGTGCTGTTCTTGCTTTGCTCCTAAATGTCTGAGCAAGGCGGGCCGACTGTGAGACCATCCCATCCTTTTTCTCTGGCCAAGAGCTCCTCCTCCTTTGGGGCTCAGCCACTGCTTCTTCTGGAAAGCTCCCCCAACTCCAAGGCTGAGGCAAACTGCACAGGGAGCTCATCCCAGCCTTGCCCCAGCCCCACATGCTATACACACGTCCCAGTGCCGATTTCCTCACCAAGGGTACAGACTTGGACGCTTCGCCTGCAGGTGGCTCAAGAACGCGCCCGCAAGACGGCAAGGAAGGTGAGTCAGAGCGAGCCCGGGCAGAGGCGCTCACTGCCAGGTGTGCAGCCTGGGCCCTGCCTGGTCCTGAGGCAAGTCTCCCTCCCAGAAGCAAGCAGACTCCTAGGAGGCTGAGGTGATATGCAAAGGCCGGCCTCAGGACCACTTCCACTTCACAGCCCTGGCCCTACCTTCCCAACAGAGATGAATAAAAGCCTTTCTCCATGACTGGCCCCTGCAACCAGGCTACCAGTAAAAGTACCAGCGTCCCAACCCTGCCACACCATGGCCAAGGACCAGCACCCAGGGGTCTGTTTACCTCATGCCCTTACGTGACTGGGCTAGGACTCAACACCAAGGCGGGGATATGACTAATATCCCCGCCACTCAGGAAGCTGAGGCAGGAGGATCACAAATTTGAGGCCAGCCTGGGCCTCAAACTTGTCTCAAAACTTTAAAAAGAAATAAAAGTCTGGGGATATAGCTAAATGGCAGAGAGCTTTCCTAGGGAGGGAGAGAAGGAGGCAGGAAGGAAAAGGGGAAGGAAGGAACCAAGGAACCACAGAACCTCAGTCTGGCTAGGACAGGGTGGCTGGGGGGGCGGGGGGGTAAAAGCCGCTGCCCTCCCAGGACTCACGCTCCAAAGGGCTC